TGAATCACCATGTGGATGCTAGAAACAGAACTCTAGAAACAGGAGAAAGGGGTGATCATAATCACTGAGACATCATTCCAACCCATCATTCCCTTCCTTCCTTTAAAACAAAAACAAAAACTCCCTAAAACAAAACAAAACAAAACAAAACAAAACAAACCCCCAGAGGCTGGAGAGCTGGCCCAGTGATTAACAGCAGAGACTGGACCTGAGTTGGGTTCCCAGTACCCACTCAGGTGGTTCACAGTCACCTGCAACTCCAGCTCCAAGGGACTCAATGCTTCTGGCCTCTGCTGGCACCTATACCACCTATGCATAGAACCAACACATAACTGAAAATAATAATGAACATCACTCGGTTTTCGAAGAGGTTGATGCTCTCCAAAGGAGAGAGGGAAGATGAAGAAAGACCACTGTTTTTATATGTGACTATCAAACACTTAGACGGGCTCCTGCCCATGTATTTGACTTTATTTTGAGAAGTTAAACAAACAAAAAAAGCAAACAATGGCTGCCTTCTCCTACAACATGATATAACACCAACTATCTGTCATAGGTGTTTCAGTGCTTTAACCCTCTCAGCAACTTCTGAGAAGAATGAGGTAGAAGCCTCTGTGTAGCCAACCCACACCCAGCTCACTCTTTCACTGGAAAAAAAATCCTTTGAGCTGGGCATGGTGTCAAACGCCTATAATCCCAGCACTCGGGAAGGCGGAGGCAGAGGCAGGCAGAGCACTACGAGTTCGAGGTCAGCCTGGTCTACAAAGCAAGTCTAGTACAGTCAAGGCTACACAGAGAAACCCTGTCTCAAAAAACAAACAAAACAAAAATCCTCTTGAATCAAGAGACATGGATTTGGAAAGCAGCAGAATTAAACGTCTGAAATTAAAAAGAGAAGAGCCCCTGGGAGAGAAGTCCACAGCTCCTCTTCCCTGGCACATCTCCCAACCTCGTGTTAGATCCCACGGTCAGTGAGCAGCATTTGAATCCACAGCCGGAGCTCTTCCGCTCCACTCCACACAGCCTGTAGCCGCGAAAGGATCTCTTCATACAATCAGTGCAGACAGCATTAAGGTGAGGTGGCTGGCTGTGTGAGGGGCTCTCGTCACGACAGTGCTTTGACTGCAATAGGTCATGCAATCAAACAGAGAGTTCCAAGTGCTGCCTTTAAAATGCTATCCTTGTGACTTGTTTCCATGTGGGGTATTAGAAACTGGAACCCCATCTGACCATGCCTTTCCAGCCTTTAATAACGTCCAGCCTTCTAAAAAAGGCCAAGGGGACAAGACTAATGAAAACCTACACATTTTTCTTTCATGTAAAATATACATTCTATTCTCTCAAAAGGGAAAACAAGCTAAAACACTCAAGAGAGTAAGAGAAAACAACTAGCATATATCACTGAGTGGGGGAGCAATTTAAAAAAAACAAACAAACTTGTTTTCCTTATAAAATGCGGAGGAAAGTGTCTGAACCTACCTGGCTTGGCTACGCACCTGAAGCCTTGCCATGGTTTTTTATTTACCTGTAGTGTTAGGAGCAAAGGGTTCGATATATGCATTGAATACTAACACAGCCACGCAAAACTGAAGGTTCCAGTTTGAAAGTCAACAGGGAAGAAAACAACTTCTGAGCATCAAGATGGCGTAAATCCTGCCCTTCTCAGCAGAGACTGAAGCACCTCAGACTGAGGACTCTCTGGATGCTGGGCTAGCTCCTGGTGACTTGCACAGCGGTTACCCGTGTGATTATAGCAGCGCTGCTACCTGGACATGGGAAGACTACTGGGCCTTCAACTTCAGCGTACTCAGAAGGTTCCAGACTAGAAACAGCTCCTGAAGGTGACCACCTTTATCCTCCTTGCTTTGACAGCACTTCTTAGAGAACCGAGATCTAAGTGTCTTCCTAGTAGAAAATGACCTCGTCTGGCCTAGCTCTGCAGGCACAGGCTCAAGAAATGGCAAAATTAGATAGCAATTGTTACTTCACTTTCTCCTGAGCAGCTCTGAATCCCTTTGGAAGGCTACAAACATGGGCACAGGCTTTCTGTGCCATTGGTTTGTAAATGTAGAGGGCAAAGGGCTAAACCGGAAATGGGGAGTAGTTCCAGATCTGAATGGTCAGACTGACTTCTCATCCTCATCTTTGAAGACCAGACTCTGGTATAATTTAAGCTAAAGGGGCTAGAAAACTAGCATAAACAACAACAACAACAACAAAAAAAAAAAAACCATCAGCTGAGCTATGTCTTCCTCCAGCAGCCAAGAACAAAGCAATGACAGAGCTCCAAGGGGAAAGCCTCTTTGAAAGCCTAATCAACAGCCTGACCTGGCGATGAGGTTACGGCTGTAACCCACGAGGACAGACCAGCGACGCCCCATTGGGCTACAGTTGTGGAGTGACCAGCTGCATTACTGCCCACCCTCAACAGGGCAGAGGGAGGTGTGCAATCCAAGGCACGGCACACGGAGGGTGACCAGGTCTCTCGTAATGAGCCACGAGCTGCCCCAGGCCAGTTCTCTCAGTGGAATTGGATGTCTGCTCTAATTAAGAGTTGTTATGCTAGCCCAACATGGTGGCACACAGCTTCAATCCCAGAAGCAGGAGACAGAGGCAGGTAGAGCTCTGAGTTTCAGGGCAGCCAAGGGTATATAGTGATATCCTGTCACAGAAGAGCAAAAAGGTGTTAGGCCATAATGTGATGAAGAAGCTGTGCAAAATTAAAGGTAGTGGGTTTTAGGCGTGCTGATTTCACCAAGATGGAAGAGAAGCTGGAGAGCAATGGCCACTGAGAAAGGATGTTGTTTGGCAAAGAGAAGCAGATGGATCTCCAGAGACAGTCACTGATCACTGCAGTTCTTAGGAAAGAAGGTGCTCTGGAGCTGTGCAGAGGCATTCCAATTCTTGCAACAAACCCATTTTTTTCTTCAGGTCACTGAAGGTTTCCTGAATCTGAAGAATTTAAATCCTAACAGTTCTTAATATGTCCATGAGGACTAGGGACGTGGAATGAGTGGCTCAGGACAAAGCCACACTTCTATCAGAAAAATAAAAAAACCAAAAGGGAAGCCACATCTCCTCCCCCTCCTCCAGGGCTGTCCATTTTATTTTCACATTCCCTCACAACCCCGTTCTGCATATACCCCACTATTCCTAATCTTGAACTGAAAAGCTAATGAGTTGTGGGTTTGGATTTTTTTTACTCTGGCTTAACATGCAGCCTATTGATTAAACAGTGGCATTTCTTACTCTATAAGAAGTACATAAGATAACAGTATGTCAGGTGACTTTTCACATGACTTGCATTATGGATTTTAAATGCTGACAGTTGCCTCACTATGATGGCTACTCCATACGGTCAACCTCAGGGTGAATGCTTGCAGAATACCGGACAGATGGTTGCCAGATGAACATTCTTCACTTCTTTTGTATGTTCAAAAGTAGGGCTGAGCACAGATCGTGATATTTACTTGATCTACGCAAGGAGCTAAGCTCCCCACAAGTAAAACAGGAAAGTCAACACTTAGACCACAGTCTACCATTCTTCTCAGCCAGGTGGTTATGAGGCCGGCCTTCTGTCAAGGCATGGGCTGATACAGGCCTGGGATACAAAAAGCAAAGCAAATAACGATCCCACCCCACCGGAAAAAGGGAGATTTTTGGGAATTTGGCTCCATGGTAGAAGCCTGCCTAGCGTGCAGAAGCCCACGAGGTTCAACCCCAGCACCAAAGAGAGGCAGGCCACTCCCTACTCTTCTATTTGCAAGCAATGTGAGGAGCGTAGTTTTCTGAGGCTGGGTCTTACAGCTCAGTGTGGCCCTCAACTCCTGATTCCTCTTCCCAAGTGCTGGGATTACAGGCGCCAGCCACCAAGTTCTTGCACATGCTAGGCAAGCACTCTACTACTGAGCTAACATTCCCTTCTTTCCCCTTTTTTGGGGGGTACGAGGTGCAGTGTTTGCTGTTGGTTTATATTTTGAAGGCCTCCCCCCTCCCTCCAGGATGCATGGACTCTCTGTGCAAAGTCTGCAGACGTCCATCCACCGGCTGTGACTCTGATTACAGGATCTCGGGCTCATGTCTCTCCGCGCAGAGGCCACAAAGACATGCCTTCATTAAACAGCAGCCTCTGCGGTCGCCCGCCGCTCCCTGGTGGGCTAGGAATCGCCTGCATCCCGAGAGCCACGGAGATCCAGGCAAGCCGGACGCACGCTCGCCGCAGGCCGCACTGAGCCTCGGAGCGTCGGCCTTGGCCACGCAGCCTCTACGCACCTTCTCCCCGCGCGCTACGGCCCGCACCCGCGGCCGCCAACGCTACCTGCACTCCGTGAACGATGTAGATCTTCTCGGCCTCGCTTAGCGCCACCGACGCCATGCTTCCCGGCTCGCCGCGCGTGCTTGCGTGTCATCAGCCCGCGCCCCGCCCCACCGCGCCTGCGCGTCATCAGCCCGCGCGGCGGCCGCTCCCGCAGCCGCGGCTGCCACCACCGCCTGGAGCTCCATGGGCCTCTCCTGCGCGCCGCCCCGGGTGAGGCCGAGTCCGGCGAGCCGCGGCGCCCGGTGCCCGAGCCATCGCGGACGCGGGAGGCTGGGCCCCGGGGCAGGGCCAGCAGCAGGCGGCGCGGGACTGCGAGCTGCCTCCACATTGACGGTCAGTGCGGAGGGGAAGCCCCAGAAGGAGGGGAGCGCGGGGCCCCGGGACTCGAGAAGCGCGTAACCTCGTGCGCCGGGGCCGGAGTCGAAGTCGCCGAGCGCGCGCACGTGAGACACCCCAGGAAGGCGGAAGTCGTGTTGCCCGCGGGGGACCGTCTGTCTTCTCAACCCCCTCTTAGTTGGTCCCTAGCATGGCTGAGAAGAAGAGACCGTGGATCCCTTGTTAGGTCACTGTGGTCGGGAAGGGTCTGGACCAGGAGTGGGCGCCAGCTTCTCGGTTTGCGCACCCATCTCCACTCCAGGGATCCATCTCTCTCTGTTCTCTGTCCCCTTATCTCTTCCTCTCCTGCTGCTCATCATCCAGTTGTGACCCTTTGCAAGTTCTCGTTGCCTCCTGTGGTTGCTGGAGAGTAGGGAGAGCGTCTTGCGCTTCCGAACGCCTAGATGGAGGGGATGTCTGGCGGCGGTGGACAGCTGCCTGAAAGAGAGCCGACCCTGGGCAAACGTGGCACTCGGGTATCCAGAAAGGATGCCCGCAAGGTGAAGCTGGAGTCATCCTGGGAGCCCTTTAAGGAAGAGAGATAGGATAGGAACCGAATTAGCAAGGAACTATCTGGGAAAAGGGGAGGGGGACGACACCAGAGTTGGTTGAAACTTCACTTCCCTGGTGTTCAGTTTTTGAGAAAGTAACCCTTCACAGCTTACATGCTCGCCTTTAAACCCTCCTGCTTGGGAGGCAGACGTAGGCTGGTCTGTGTGAGTTCGAGGTCAGCCTGCTCTACATAGTGAGTTCAAGGACAGCTAGAGCCACATAGGGAGATCTTGTCTCAAAGACACCCCCATGCCCCCCAAAAGAATGTTTCTTTGCTTATGGCTTCACAGCTAACTAAACAAGTAAACAGAACTTCTGATCAAGGAATCTTCTGGGGCAGAAGGGAAGGCGCTTGTAAGCATGACCACAGAACATGGTGCTCAGAGCTGGAATAGCAGATTAATGGCCAGAGGGATTGCAAGGTGAGGCGAAAAAGTGGCAGGCAGGAAGTGCCTGACTACATTCCTAGGTACCGAACCGTTAACTTTTGTGTTTGTATTTGTTTGCTTGTTTTTGTTTGTTTGTTTGTTTGTTTTGAGACAGGGTTTCTCTGTGTAGCTCTGGCAGTCCTGGATCATTCTGTAGACCAGGCTGGCTTTGAACTCACAGAGATCCACCTGCCTCTCCCTCCCAAGTGCTGGGATTAAAGGCGTGTGCCACCGTCCTGCTGAAGAGTTAACTGTTGAGCCCTCAAATGGATAGTCTTTTCTTGATAGGCTGGACGTGAGTTTTCAGTGTCCACACAGTACTGCAGGTGCTCCTGAGAGAAGGCTTCTCGCACTGTTGGACTTTGCTCTCTAGAGTAACTGGGAAAGGTGACGCCGGAAGGGCTTTCTTCCTCCTGTGGAGGGGCAGGTGCCACACTTGCACAGCACTTAGACTCCGACTCCATGCGACTGAACAGCGAGTTTCTCTGTGAGGGACTGTGAAATGACAAGGGACTCCTGCCATTAGTTGAGGTTTCTAGTGATAGAGATTACTGGGAAAAGAGACTTTTAAGAGTATATGGTGGGAGGGGCTGAAGAGTGGAAGGACTGCAAATTGAAATGTCAGAAAAGACACTGGAAGAAAGTTTGACATGAATTTGACTGCCATGGAGTCATTTTCTTGGAAAAAATCTTTCACCATCTCTTTAAAAATACACAATTGTGGTAGAGCGCTGGCTGGGCCCTAGATCCCCTCCCCAGCACCACACAGGCATACTCTGCCCCCTGACAGTTGACAACAGGTTCTTTGTGTCCGAACTATTTATTTGGTAACTAATTTTGTGAGTGCTATCTGGTACTAGTGTTGAAGGCCTGAGGACACATAGACAGCGGGGTTGGTATTCTCTGCTAGAACATTGGTGCCCCATTTACTCTCTGTGCTGCCAGATCGTTTTCATCATACTCTTAAGTGCATTAAACGTCTTTAAAGCTCGTCCGCTCAAGGTTCCTTTTTAGTTGAAGCAATTCAAGGAAAATATTAGAACCAGAAAAAATGTAACAGCCAGGAATGGCACATTATGTTGTATTATACCAATTTGCTTTCTGTTGATTTTGTTTTGCTTGTTTGTTTCATGCTGTTTTGTTGCAGTGATTTTTATAAATACCTATTCTCTATTAATTTTCTGTGACATTGTGTGATGCTTATTGTGTGTCATTCAGTTCTCAAAATAGTTTTATGAGGGCAATTTTAAAGTTTGGGAAACTAAGGCACAGAGCAAAGTCACAGATCACATAACTAATAGGTGGCAGAGGCAGGATTTGAGTGGAGCCATAGTGGCTCCCAAACCTGCACTCCTGTCACCTCCTATGGCCTCTCAGAAACTCCCATGTATCTACCAGGGGACCTAATGCAGATGCCATGTTTGTTGTGGGGCTGGTAGCTGTTCTGTAAACTACTTCTCAATTTCAATTAATCAATCAATTTTTGATGATGGTGCCTGAGGCTCAGGATCCCTGGGCAGACATTCTATCATTGAGTTATATCCCCAGGCCACAGGATTAATTTCAAAAGCAAGGATGGATGTTCTGGAACGAACTCACTTCTCTTTAATCCTCTTTATAGAGGAAATGAAAAGTATTGTTGGTAAGTCCTATGCCTGCTTTAGTTCACCTCAGCAGATAAAGGAAAGCTAAAACTCCAAGTAGCTAAAGAGAGAGCCCTCCAGAGCAGAATCTGGTAGATCTAGAATGGAGGGAAGGGTTGAGTGTGCATGCTTAGAGAGGCAAACATTCCAGAAGTGCCCTAATGCCCTCGAGTGCCTGAAGTTCTCATGGACCTAAAGACATGAAAATTAGGCACTTGTTTAAAAGTTTAGTATTTGTTATAGCTGAGGAGTCCAGGCCCTTGAGCTAGTGCATAAACCAGTTAGTAAAATGAAGTGCTTAATTGAGCCGGGTGGTAATTAGGGCTGTAACAAGGTGCTAATTGTGCAAGTCAAGCACCAAGTACAAGAGGGAAAGAGCTGCTGCTAACAGAATAACATTCTATGAGGCAGAAGTACATGTGCGCCACCCACCCCTGGCTCAGAGAGCCTGGGGCCGTGCTGTGAACTCCTAGAAACCCAGGTAGGGGGTATTTCCTAAAGATCTCTTTCCTTTGCATCGTTTGTGGTTATCTTGCCCGGGCCTTGTATGACACTAGATAGAAACAGCCTTTCATAATCTAACCGTGAGTCTGTATGTCTTATGTTAGATCTTGTGATTTGGAACTGTAGTGATAGAAAAATTGCTAACAGTACTCGAGCCATATTCCTCGTTAGAGGAGGGGTCTGCCGTGCGTCATTTTAAGAGGCTAGCCTGCCTGAGTTTCGTAAAGTCGAATGTGAGAGAATGAGTCACAGATCCCGGTTTCCGGGTGTAGAATGCACCGCTGCGCTCAGAGACTGAGGTGTGAACTCAGGGCAGTGCCTCATTATTGACCCAGAAGGAAAAGGAGGTTGACACCGCGCTCCCTCGAGTTACACTTCTGAAAATCTGTTTGCTTTTCTCTTGGGAAATTTCCTGGGACACTGAGAAAGGTCTCTCCCGGCTGTTAGTGTGGAGGTGGGAAAGCTAGAGGCAAATATTCTTGCTTTCGTCATCCTAGCACCGCAGAAGAAATAGGAAATCATAGTTTTGTAGTCTCCTGAACTGTGGCCTTCAGGATGCACAAACACTTGATGGATTTTGTTCACTGCCTGTTTCTCAGTCAGCGGCTATGGGAACACCTTTGGGTGAGTTCAGTTTCTCACTTTATCCAATTAAGTCTAGTACTCAGCCACAGTCCTGCTGTAGTAAGTCTTGACCTTGGCACATAAAATCTTGTTTCCAGACCAAGTCAGTACAGAATCCAGAAGGACAGGTTAGTCAGGGAGATAAGAATCGGTGGCGAACAGATCCCTCACTGCCTCTCTTGTGCTGTGACTGACAGCGCTTGGCTGCTTCCTTGCTTTGTGTCCGTAACCTTCCAGCCTCGCTTTACCACAGACTAGTTTCTTGCTGTAAAACTCAGACTAACTCTGGATGTACAAAGACTGAAGTATTGTCTGCACAGCTCAGCGGATAAAAGTGCCAGCACCAAGCCTGACTACTTGAGTTTGACCTCCAGAACCCACATGATGGAAGAGAAAAGTGGCTCCCACAAGTTGTCCTTTGACCTTTACAAGTCATGCAGTATACACACGCACGCGCACAGTATATGAAAAATGAAGAAGTAAACCCTGAGCAGACAGAGCCCTGTGAGTTCAGGGCCAGCCTGACATACTTAGTGAGTTACAGGTAAGGTCCGACTGTATAGTGAGACCCTGTCTCAAAATAAATAAATACTGAAAAATAAAAGGCTTAAAATGGTGTTTTACTTGGAGTGTTGGTTTTTTTTAGCCAGGATCTCTATGTGTTGCTCTGGCTGTCCTGTACTCTATGGACTAGGCTGGCCTCAGGCTCACAGAGATCTGCCTATTTCTGCCTACTGGGTGGTGAGGTTAAAGCACCACACCAGCTTAACTGGGTTTTTACAGACTTCTCACATTTATCATTTTGTAATATTTGATGCAGGTTTTGTTGTTGTTTTTAAATATTTATGTGTTTATGTATATGAGTGTTTTATCTGCATGTATGCCTGCATGACAGAACAGAACCATCAAATCTCATTATAGATGGTTGTGAGCCATCATGTGGTTGCTGGGGTTTGAACTCAGGACTTCTGGAAGATCAGTCAGTGCTCTTAACCGCTGGGCCATCTCTCCAGCCCCTGTTGTTGTTTCTTAGGCTATTTGACACAGTCTCGTGTAGCTTAGGATGATCTTGACCTTCTGATCCTCTGGCCTGGATCTCTCAAATGCTCGGATTTCAGGCCTGAGCCACCACACATGGTGCTGGGGATTGAACCTAAGGCTTTGTGGATGCTGAGCAAACACCCTAACAACCAAGCTACACCCCAGCCTCTATTTAATTGTAGTTTGATAATGCCGTTTACATTTGTAAAACTAAAAATACTTGGGAAAACCTAACAGACAATTACTGGTGGGTTTCTTTTGACTGTTAGTGAAGGGGAGGGGAGGAGAGCTAAGCCTTTGGTTACCAAAAGGAGAAAAGAAAAGAAAGAAGCTAAGAAACTGTTGAATTTGGCCCCAGCAACAGAGGGTCTCAGGGTCTAATTCTTGCGAGGACCTTTGCAGTTAGCTTCATCTGTATTCCCTCCCACCATTGGAAATTCTAGCACTTGGGGAGGCTGAGGCAGGAGGATTGCAGGCGTTGGAAACCAGCCTAGCTGTCTCACATTCCCCATGAAGATCCTCTCTTACGTTCTCTTGCACATGCCTGGTGTAAAGGAAACAGAGAAATGAAAGCCAGATTCTCCCTTGAAGGCTAGTGCATTAGAAAAACTAGTATTTTTTATCTTTGCAAGCTTCTGCTTTTAGTCCTTACAAAAGTCAGGCCTTTGCTTGGGTGATGTCACAGTAGCTGTATGTCTGCACATGGCACAGTGTGAGGCCAGGTGCCATCCTCAGCACCCTCAGGTGGGAAAATGTGCTTGGTTGTGCTTTGCCTACCATGGTGGGCTTTAAAACCTGTGTGCAGACACTGGCCCCAGGAAGGCGTTCCCAGCAGATTGTAGGGATTCAGTCTTAGGCTGACTGCTGGTGTGAGTGTCATGGCCTCCCCTCCTCCTAGTCTGTTAGAGCAGCCTTAGTCCTCTAGAGGATGGCTTGGTGTTCCTCCAGGGCCCCACATCAGTCCAGCATGCCCTTGTTCAAGTCAGTGACTATGGACACTGCTGCATGGGACCAGTCCACCAGTAGCACCTGCTCTTCATAAGCATGTGAGGGCAGGATGGCCAAACTGTAAGTAACCCAGGGCCTTGATGCCAGTATTGATGTCCCTTCCCTTTGGCTGTGGTGAGTGGTTAACAGCAGGTTTGATTGTGGATCCTGTCTCTGCTGCTCCCTGGAGGTGTG